TTTTACTTATGTTCCTGTCCAAAGATTTTGTAACCAAAAATTGCCAAGTCAAATTTTAGGGCTTACTTTATTCTTGAATTTCTATAAGGGCAATAAATTATCTAGTAAATTAGGTAATACATAATCAAGGAAATCCAGCTTAAAATATAAATATTTTTTCATGAACTCTATCAGAGTCCTCAAATTTCAACACCTATTTACATTTTTTTTTTTACATTTTATCCAATTACTGGTAAACCTGTTTCTCAAAAATGACTCAGAGTCTAAAACTTAAAACATACAAATTCACTTCTCAGTTACAGTATTTTTGAACTTTTACACAAATAGTCTACTAGTTAGGCTGAAGGGGAAAAATATGCTAACCACACTTTTATCTAGTCATAAGATTCTCTTTGCATTTATGTTTTTGCAATGCTGAGTCATGAAATAAAGGAAACACATGGTGCTAAACCCAAATAAGTAGTTCATCTCTTATTTTCAAAGTTTCTAATTATAGTATGTTGCCATTTTAGTCTTGTTAAGCATTTGGAACTAAGTAAGTAAAGAATTTATAAGTAACTTGAAGTGTCTACCTGATTCTCAGAAACTTAACTAGGTGATTGCCAACCACTCTAATTCTTACTCTTAAAGACCCTATAAAACAGAGTAGAATCGTCCAATAGGGTTTCTAAGGCTATAATCTTTAAGGAAGCAGACAGCCAATTCTTTCTCCCACATTCAGAATGGCTGGTGGGTTTGTACTGCCCATATTTTGGTTAGCAGTCGTGTACTAAACTGCTACACTAGATTTCCTTGAGGAGAAGACAAAACTAAAAGCATTTCTTTCTGCAAGTTACTAAGCTTTCAACTTCCTGGTTTATTTACACAGCTCATCATGACCATTTCAGGTAACAAAACAGAAGTTAAAAAAAGCACACCCAACTTCCTCTTTCTTTATAAAGTGATAAAACTTCAGCAGTCAGTTATGAGAATGTTGTTATTACGTACTGTGGAGTCGGTTCTGACTCATAGCGACCCTGCACAGGGTTTTCAAGGCTGTAAATCTTTATGGGAGCAGAAAACCTAATCTTTCTCCCAAGAAACTGCTGTTAGTTTCGAACTGCTGACCTTGAGGTTTACAGCCCAATTTGTAACCACTATGCTACCAGAGCTCCTAGTTATGAGAATAGTTGACTTTATTTTTATCGGCTTCTATAGAAATACTTGCAAAAAATCAGACTTCATCAATTCACCTCAAGACTGCTGGTTTTATAAAAAGATAAAAAGTAGAATTAAAACATATCATGACATACATTCCTTAAAAAAAAATTAATAAAACCCCTAATTTATTTGCAGTTGAGGTCTTAATTAAAAGAGAGTGGCATAAAAATTAAGACACTTATGTGCATCAAGAGATTTCACCAAAAGAGAACCTATAGACTGGGGAAAAAATTTTGGTATGGCGCTGTAGAATAAGCACTGGACCATAAGGTTGGTTTGAACAGCAAGGTTCACTGTTCAAACTCATCAGCTACTCCTCGGAAATCCTATACAAGGTTTCTATTCTATTGAGTCAGAATGACTGGATGGCACTTAACAACAGTCTCTAAAATGTACAGAGCACTCAACATCTTAACAAGACAAAGAACCCAATTAAAAATGGGCAGTGGACATTAACAGACACTTCACCAAAAAAAGACATTCAGGTGGGCCAACAAATGAAGAAAAGCTCGCCATTAGTTATTAATGATGCAATCAAAACAACAATGAGATATCTTCCCCCAGCATGGATAACAAAATTCAGAAAAACAGTGAAGAAACTGGGATCCTCCTACACTGCTGGTTACGTGCAGGTGAGTCAGTCCGGATTCATAGTGACCCTGAACAAGGTTTCCAAAGGGCTTACCTTGTGGTTCAATACCGACCTGTGGTCCAGTGCTTCATCCCAGAGCGGGACTGCTAAAATGCTGCAACTGCTATAGCAAATGGCATGGCACTTTCTCAAAAAGTTGTTAATAGAAATACCGTATAACCCGGCAAAACCTATACTTTGTATATATCATCAAGAAATAAGAGCCATGACAAGAAGAGATATATGTACACCCATTTTCATTGCGGACTCCTGGGTGGCGCTGTGGGTGAATGCATTGGATTGCAAAGCCAGTTTAAATGGCAAAATCGGGGGTTTAAATTCACCAGCTGCTCCTCGGCAACCCTAGACAGGGTCACTATGGGTTGGAACAGAGTCAAGGGCACTTAACAACAACATTTTCATTGCAGCACTATTTACAACAGCAAAAAAGATGGAGACAGTTTAAATACCCATCAATAAAAGAATGGTTAAACCAACTTTGGTACGTATACAAATGGAATATTACAGAATGTTGAAGAATTAACATGAACCTCATAACATAGATGAACCTGACTAACATTATGCTGAGTGAAATTAATCAATCATAAAATGACAAATATTGTATGAGACCACTGTTTTTTCCCAGGGGCGGGAGGGAAGGGAAAATTACTCATGGGGTAGAGGGTAGACACATGTTAACTTGAGTGATGGGAAAGGCAATATATACAACAAAGAGGGAGGCCGACAGAGGCAAGATGAAGCAGCAGAAAATATAAGGAGAAATGCAAGAGTTAAAGTGAAGAGAAGTAAGTATTATTAACTGATGATACATGGAGGGGATTGAAACCAATGTAAAGAAACGAAGTATAAGATTTATTGACTATAAAACTGATGACCTGCGCTGTAAACCTTCGTTCAATTTACAAAACGTTAGGGAAAAAAAATGAATAGAAGTAAATACTGTTAACTGATGGTACATGAAGAGGGTTGCAATCACTGTAATTAAACAGAAAGTATGATGTATGATTTCTTGAATGTGGGATTGATGATCTGTTTTATAAATCTTCACGCAATTCACAATAAAAAAAAAAAGAAACATTATAATTCCTTCAATGAAAAATTAGAATACAAACTAGGGCTCAAAATACCCTGATTTTTAAAATCAGTTTTAATGGTGTCCTGATTGTACAAATCTTATACCACAAAAATCTCATTTTAAGGGGCTACTTATTTATGAATGATACGGCAGTCATATGGAGTCCTGGTGTGACACTGTGGGTTAATGTACCAGAATGCAAAGCCGTTTGAACTGCAAGGTTGGTGGTTCAAGCTCACCAACTGCTCCTCGGAAACTCTATGCAGGGTCACTATTGGTCGGAATTGACTTGATGGCACTTAACAACAACAACAAGGCAGTCATATCAGCAAGTCTTTTTGGAAACACGCTTTCTCAATTTTTGAATTCAATGAAAAGTAAACAACAATTCAGAGGAAAAAGGGGCAAGGTGAGTTTGAAGCTGCCTTTTCTTTTTACTTAGAGATTCACAAGAGCAATAATGGACCAGTTTCAGCTTAGTTTAGGAATGCTGTTGTTACTATTAAGTGCCCGGGTTCCAACTCATAGCAACCCTATGTTGGGTTTTTAAGGCTTCACATCTTTGTGGAAGCAGAAAGCCTCATCTTTCTCCGGACAAGCAGCTGGTAGGTTTGGATTGCTGACCCTGCGATTTGCAGTTCAGTGCTTATGCTACAGAACCACTAAACTCCCAATATAAGAACATGATTTAACAAACTTTTACTAATCTCCAATCATATAGATTTGTTTTACGAGATTTTTACAGTATTGTTGTTTTACTGTATTAGCTATTCTTATTCAGATCAATGAAGACAATGTGATTAATCTAAAACCTATTTTAATATAAAATTCACCAACATTTTTTCGCAGAAGACTTACCTTACTGATTATGATTTGCTTGTTATGTCAGTAAAATTAAGCAACAAAAGAAAGGTGTGCAGTTGTCAGAAAAGTTACCTAATTTAAAATATGCTCTGGTGTTCACACTTTTAAAGAAATATGTTTACTAATTCAACTACAGTCGATGGCATCACAGTAGAGCACCAGATAAGGCAAGATACTTTGTGCAAACTTGAATGTGATGACTGGAGGTTTACGTGATACATAAAATCTTTCTGAGCTTAAAACAAGAATCAACTGGTTATCCTTGAATTTGTGACCACGACCGTGCGAAACGGAAACTATTTTTCAAAACTGATCTTTCAGAGGATGCAATCAAGGAAGTTCAAACCCACTGCCGTGGAATTAATTCGGACTCAGAACAACCCTACAGGGCAGAGGAGAACTGCTTCATCCGGCTTCCAAGGCTGCAAATCTTTATGGAAGCAGTTGATTTGAACTACTAGGCTTTACGCGCGCGGTCGAGCGCCTCGATCACTGCGCCACCAGGGGGAGTGATTAAGAGTCACTCGAGGTGGTCGTGTTCTGAAGCAAATGCTCTGAGGTCTACACATTGATTGAAGGAAATGAGTGAGTGTGTGAGCAAAGAGGGACTTGTGTAGTAGGTGCACTAGGCAAACAGCACATCGGGACCTCTCCCTGTCGGGAAGTCGTGACAGCAAAATCACTTCCTGAGCAAGGAGGAGCAAAAGGGAAGTAACAGGCCACCCTGACCAGGAAGTGCCTTGCCCTAAACTGGCCCCAGTCAGATTTAAAAATGGGGGACGGGATGCTTCCCAATAGCTAAAGGCAGTAAAATAACTGCTTCCTGACGCCTTACTAGAGCCCCCTCCCATAATGACAGAACAGAAGTCCTAGGTCACAATTCAAAAAGGGCAAGTCTCTTCCCGTGCAGGAAGGCCACTGGGTTGTGCCTCAGGCCCCGGCGCGAAAGAGTTGAAGAATGGGGAACAGAGGCACCGTGAGGCAAAGGGAAGCCCACGAGAAGGAAGTGTCCCAACTGCGGAGAGCGAGTACCAGCACAGACTAAGAATCTCCTTTTTCCTGGGGACACTGCCAGGGTTCCCACCGCAGCCGGGTAGGGCCTCTTGCTCCTTGTTGGGGGAGAAGGTAAGAGAGAGAGAGAGAGAGAGACAGAGAGAGAGAGAGAGAGAGAGAGAGAGAGAGAGAGAGAGAGAGAGGCGGACCCCTTACCTTCTCCTCATCCGACACCCGATCCTCGAAGTCGGCCATCTTGGGCTGCTCTGGCCCAGCCCGGCCGAAGGCGCAAGGCAGGCCGGGAAGGAAGTTGAGTGATGGGATCTCGCCGGGGGCTGTCAGACCCTTCCGCCCGGAAATGCGGGCCGAGATGGCGCCATGTCAGTTACGGGAAGGGTAATGACTTCGCGCGCCTGAAGTCTAGAAAGCCGGCTTTGCCTTAAGTGATCTTAAGTCTAATAGTTTTCTCCTTGAGTTCGTTTCCTCATTCATTTATTGGACACGGTGCATGTTTAGAATGCTTTTGGCGCATAAGCTCTACGTTACATCCAACCAGTTGCTACTCCTATGGGGCTTCCCCAGTACCAGTGAGCTCCGTGGCAGCCAAGTCCAAAGCACAAAGTGCCTCTGGAATGATCTGTGGCTTTTCCAACTCCAGGAATAGTGTGAAGCGTGACCCTCACCTCGTATGGAAGCAAAAACACTTCACGCCGAAGTCACATCTCAGTCCATGTCCTCCAGAAAAGGCGCCGTTATCTGCTCTTCCCCCACCCCCGAAGAAGTGTTTGTAGTCCGTCTTAGGACGGTCCTCCACCTTCCAAATCCCGGACCCGCTCACTATAACTCAGTGTTCACATTGGCCAACTTCAGGTCCGCCACTATCCCAGGATTCCCAACTCTCTGTTTCCTGTCCTCCCCTCCCAGCGCCCGGCACCTGCGGAAGCAGCAAGATGGCGGACGCTGGCTGTCTGGGTGAAGCAGGGACTGCTGCAGCATCTCATCTCACACCTACTTCAGGCCTGAGCCCACCGCTAGGCTGGAGAGAGCGGCTGCGGGCCGGACTGGCGGGGACTGGGGCCTCGCTCTGGGTCGTGGCGGGGCTGGGTCTGCTTTACGCTCTGAGAGTCCCGCTGAGGCTGTGTGAGAACTTGGCAGCGGGTGAGAGGCCGGGACAAGCGGGGTTTGGGACAAGCGACGGGGTTAAGGGCCAAAGGGCAGAAATCCACGGTAGTCACTGGAGGGCTTTAGAGAAGGAGTAGGTGACGCATGGCCCAAGTGCGCTCTTTTCCTCTTGGGCGGCAACCTCGCAGCTGATTGTCAAACCTGAGCTGCCAGCTGTCAACTCCTCCCAGAGTTCTTAGGATCCGCCCTCTCCTCTGCCCTAGGCTTCCCAAGGAAAAAGCCACCTGACACATTGTGAGCTTCAGGTGGTAGGACAGAAGAGCTTACTTTCAGACTTGGATTCAGAGTTTATATGCACCCCTCACCATTGATGGGTTCCCTTGAAAGTTATTCTTTTGAGTATTCTGACTCCGTTTAAATAAACCACACCCAGACTAAAAAGATGAACAAGCACTTCGGTATCCAAGAATCTCAAAAAAGGAACATATGTGCTTCTTAGTCAACCTCTCTCTTGTTTAAAATAGTTCTGTCAAGAAATAAGTATTCTTGATATTTTTGTTTTTCTTTTATCTAAGCTTTGTCGTGATTAATAAAATAAAACTATACAGAAAGTAAAGCTACAGACATCAATTCGTTAGTTAATTCTATCAAAAATCAGTGGAATGCTTTACAAAGACACGTTAAGGAAAGGATGAACTCGTTGGATTCTGCAAATACTGCTCTTTAACTGTAAACAGGACAAAGTAAATGGGGTCCTTCGTCTCTTACCATGTCATTACAATATTTCATTCAAAACAAGACCAAAGTACTTCTGTTAGGTGATGACTTTGCATAACAGCTGTATTTTTCTGAATCAAGAAAAGGCCAATGTCCCCTTTTCTATTCCATGAGATGGCATGAAAGACTGTGATGTAATGAAAAGAAATACTTTGAACTTCGTAGAAGAAAGATGTCAATTCAGATATAATTAACAAAAAATCGGCTAAATAAATTGGCTTTACTAGACTGGTTGAAAGAGCAGAATCTGCATTCTCTATAACAGGTGAATGAAGTAGTTAATGGTGGTTTGCAAACTCAGTAAAATAGTATTCGTTAATTTATGTTTCACATGTTTGTATATGTACCTTATAAATGAGAATGTTTAACTATTACAGATTTTTAAAAATTTTTCTCAATAAAAATCTGTAATTGTATTTATGAGATATTATTTGAAATGAAAAATCTGGTCCAGAATTTCACAGTGAGTCAGGTACAGAGAACTTTTAAGTGGCTTTTCTCTTGGAACTGTTTAGTCTTTCTAGCTGATATACCAAATTCATATGTTACCTTCCATCATTAAGTTAGGATTCTGTTATTATCAAATGCAACACCAAAATAATTAAGAAATGCTTTGTAAAGGATGTTTATTTAACTTCTTCCCCTTATAGATTTGCAACAATACCTTTGCAAAATCTGGCTAGTAAATTCTTAGTGTTGGTCTCAAGAGCGAGTTAAATGATCTCATTTTAATTTACTGCTTATTTAAACAAATAAAGGTAAGATATGACATGATGGGAATTTAAATGGTCTCAAATGAATCTCATGTTAGATACTCCTTAGGTCATTCCAGTCATAAAGATACCTGCATGCTTGTAACATAAGTACTTTGAAATTGCCATTTTTTAATTTTTTTTTTTCTTTTGACAGTGACAGTATTTTTAAATTCCTTGACACCGAAATTCTATGTGGCACTTACAGGGACATCATCTTTGATATCAGGACTAATATTTGTAAGTAATTTCCATTTCCTTAATTTATATTTTGGTATTTATCTAAAGATCAAGTGTCTTTATATGATTATAATAGCATAAGTGCTTATAGATCAACACTTCCAAAACTCATCATTTGAAAAAGAAATTACCTGTTCAAAGTTTGGAACACTGCTTTTCCTTCTCCACTCTTAACAATTTTTTTTAATATCCATTGGTACAGAAGGATCAAACTACATACCTATTGGGCCCAAGTTTGTACCAAAACTGACTAAAATGAGCAGACTGTAGGAAATTGTTTGAGGACTGAGTAACAAGGACATTGTGTTCCCCCAAAGGGCTAAAGTTAATTATTGCCATGTAGATCTGATTACTAGATCTTCCAAGTTTTCAAATGATTTCTCAAGAGAGCTTGGATAAACAAATTTTTATATAAAATCTCCTAGTATTTTAATATTGGTGCCATTGGTCAGTCTGAGGTTTTATCTGTGTCTTGAATTCAGCCTATAGGAGACTCTGGAGTATTTAAGAGCAGGGTGAAGAAGCCAGGCTGACCATCATTGGACTAATAACTACAAGATCAGTGGTTCAAACTCACCAGCTGCTGCTCGGAAACTCTATGTTGTTATTAGATGCTATCGAGTCGGTACTGACCCATAGCGACCTTATGCACAGCAGAACGAAACACTGCCTGATCCTGGGCCAATCTCACTATTGTTGCCACACTTGAGTTCATCGATATTGTCACTTGGCCAATCCATCTCCTTGGGGGTCTTCTTCTTTTTCTCTGACCCTCCACCTTACCAAACATGATGTCCTTTTCCAGTGACTGGTCCCTCCTGACAATATGTCCAGAGTATAAGAGACGAAGTTTGGTTATCTTGGCATCTAAGGAGCACTCTGGCTGCACTTCTTTCAAAACGGATCTATTGGTACTTTTGGCAGCCCATGGCACTTTCAATATTCTCCTCCAACACCATTACTCAAAGGCATCAATTCTTATATGGTCTTCCTTATTCACTGCCCAGCTTTTGCATGCATATAAGGTTATTGAAAATACCATGGCTTGGGTCAGGCACACCTTAGTTCTCAAGCTGACATCTTTGCTCTTCAACACTTTAAAAAAGTGTTGCGCAGCAGATTTGCCTAATGAAACACATTGTTTGATGTCTTGACTGCTGCTTCTGTGAGTGTTGATAGTTGCTCCAAGGAGAATGAAGTCCTTGACAACTTCAATCTCTTCTCCATTGATAAGAATGTTGTTTATTGGTCCAGTGGTGAGGATTTTTTTTTACTTTACATTGAGATGTAATCCATACCGAAGGCTGTGCTCTTTGATTTTCATCAGTAAATGTTTTAAGTCCTCTTCGCTTTCAGCAAGCAAGGTTGTATCATCTGCATATTGCAGGTTGTTAATGAGTCTTCCTCCAATCCTGATGCCACGTTTTTCTTCATAGAACCCAGCTTCTCGGATGATTTGTTTAGCATACAGGTTGAATAAGTATGGTGAAAGAATACAACCTTGTCACACACCTTTCTTAATTTTAAACCATTCAGTGTTCCCATGTTCTGTTTGAACAACTGCCTCTTGGTCCAGGTACAGATTCCTCATGACGGAAACCCTATGCAGGGCTGCAATGAGCTGGAATTGACTCGATGGCACTTAACAACAACAACCCACTATACCAAGGAGCCCTGGTGGCATCATGGGTTAGTGTTAGGCTGCTGACTGCAATGTCAGCATTTTGAATCCACCAGCTGCTCTGCAGGAGAAAGATGAGACTTTCTGCTCCCATAAAGATTTACTAGCTGTGTCATTGAGCAAGTTAATTAGCTTTTCTATATTTCAGTGTCCCCCTTCATAAACTATTATTAAGAATAAGAATGTTGTTGTTAAGTGCCATCGAGTTTGTTCTGCCCATAGCGACCCCGTTTGGGGTTTCCAAGGAGTGGCTGGTGAACTTTGACCTCCAGCTTTGCAGATCAAATCAATTTTACAGTCTAGTGCATTAACCCACAGTGCCACAATAGTATCCAATTAATTGGTTCATTGGGTGGTAATGCTGATGTGCCATTGAGTCAGTTCCAACTCATTTTGTTGTTGTTAGGTGTTATTGAGTCGGCACTGACTCCTGGTGACTTTATGCACAACAGAACTAAACACTACCTGGTCTGGTGCCAACCTCACAATCATTGCCGTACTTGAGCTCAATGCTATTGCCACTGCCAATCCATTTCATTGGGGATCTTCCTCTTTTTCATTGACCCTCTACTTTACCAAACATGATGTCCTTCATGAACTGGTTCCTCCTAATAATATGTCCAAAGTATGAGAGATGAAGTCTTGCCATCCTGGCTTCTAAGGAGCGTTCTGTCTGTGCTTCTTCCAACACAAATTTGTTTGTTCTTTTGACAGTCCATGGTGCTTTTAATATTCTTCTCCAACATTATAACTCAAATGCATCAGTTCTTCTAAGGTCTTATTCATTGTCCAACTTTTGAATGCATATGAGGTCATTGAGACTACCATGGCTTGGGTCAGGTGCACCTTAGTCCTCAAACTGACATCTTTGCTCTTGAGGTCTTGTATAGCAGATTTGCCTAATGTAATATGTTGTTTGCTTTCTTGACTGCTCCTTCCATGAATGTTAATGGTTGATCTAAGCAAAATGAAGTCTTTTAACAACTTCAATCTTTTCTCCATTTATCTTGATATTATTGATTGGTTCAGTGATACGGTTTTTTGTTTTCTTTACATTGAGATGCAGTTCGTACCTTAAGGCTGTGGTCTTTGATTTTCATCAGTTTTTTTTTTTTTTACTAGGACAAACTGTATTTCTATTTCCTACTTTTTAAAGAGGTGGCATACCATTTTTCCACAGTGGTTGCACCATTTTAGTCTGACCTGCAGTGTAGTAGGGTCCCAGTTTCTCTACACCCTAGCCAGCATTTGTTATTTTCTTGGGTTTTTTTTAACTTTGTTATCAATGCTGGGATAAGAAGGATCTCACTGTTGTTTTGATTTGCATTTTTCTAATGACAAGGTTGTATTCTTTCACCATAATTGTTCAACCTGTATGCTAAGCAAATAATCCGAGAAGCTGGGTTATATGAATTAAAATGTGGCATCAGGATTGGAGGAAGACTCATTAACAACCTGCAATATGCAGATGATACATACAACCTTGATTGCTGAAAGTGAAGAGGACTTAAAGTATTTACTGATGAAGATCAAAGAGCACAGCCTTCAGTATGGATTACAAAAATCCTCACCACTGGACCAATAAACAACATTCTTTCTTATCAACGGAGAAAAGATTGAAGTTGTCAAGGACTTCATTCTTCTTGG